CTTTCGATTTCTGTATTAATTATAATGTATAGTAATTACACGAGTCTATCGATATTTGTTATCCACGTCTGAGTATATTCTCTTTGGAAGCATTTTTTTTATTTTTTTTTTATTACCCTTTAATGTTTAATTAGCAGATTCATTATTTTAACCCAATAAAATAATTGGTTATAAGTAATAAATATACAGATATACACACGAATAGTGCCCGAGTGGGATGTTATCAATTTACCATAGGGTATAGGTGTTGATGTCGACCTCTGACGACAACTGAGGAAAGCTCATGTCGTTGAACTACTTACTCGACGCACGTTTATCGGCGACGGTAAGTATAATTGGTGAGTATAAGCAGTAAGTGATAGAGATATTATCGTCAAGATATCCAGGGCTGCGTTAAACATTTACGGTCATATATTACATTTTTGTTTGTAAAAAATTATGTTGGACTTGAAAAATTAAGATTACGAAATAAATGCTCGTTAAAAAATCAATTCAAATAAATTTAGCAAAGAGATGATACATTTTAAGGTTTTTTTTTTTTCATGACTATTAAGAAAAGATTTTTAGAAAAATTCGTTTCCACTTTTTCATAAGCTCGAAGAAAAAAAAAATCCTTACTTATTGAAGTTTGCATAATTTTAACGCAAAGTTTTATATTCTTTTTAAAGTTTGGAAAAAATAAAAGTTCATACAACGTAAGCTTTACATGAAGTTAACAAAAATTAATAACTGTTCAAAAAGTAAACACTTATCGTTTTTAATTGAATCCACAAAAAAAGAAAAAAACGAGGAAAACGAGACCATTTCAATTAAAACAGGGAAAATTTTTGTTCGAAAATATAAAAACGACAAAAGTCGATGCCAAGGTGGTCGGTTCGATAGCGAATAAGTTTGCTTTTAGCAGAAAGAAGAAAAAACAATAATTTTAAGAGAACGAGCTACTCGGACTGGTTGTTGACGCTGAAACCGGCAGTTTCAGTCGTCGCGTCGTACACTCGTTTAGCATTTTAATCGCCTGTAACAGGAGTTGCGACATTTTTTTTTTTTTTTTTTTTACTGCCTCTCTCTTTCTGTCGCTCATCAGATCGTCTTATCATACCAGTAGTGTTTTATAGTCGTCCAAATAAGAATCTCGCGTGTAGTTGTTTGGCCAATTGTAAAGAGAGAAGAGAACCTTGGGTGCTGTACCAGCCGAAAAAAAAAAAAAAAAAAAAAAAAAAAAAAAAAAAAATAGTGTAGGTATGTGTAGCTCGTTTTTCAACGATTGTTGATACAGGTGAAAATTTACAATTGATCTTTTATGTGTTATTCATTAAATCGAGAAAAAACAGTCATTGGCTCTTGGTTATCTTTATTAAGTCGAGGGTAAGAAGAAGTATCGGTAAAAAAAAAAAAATAATCATTTTCTTGCGCGATCCAGAAATACGTACTTTTTTTAAATAAAACCAAGCGACTCGATTTCAATTTCCTAGTCACCTCGAGTCCGAAGAAAAATATTTCATTTTACCTGTACGATCCAAAGACGAAGAATATCGATGCAGAGAATAATCGGTAGCTAAAGATCGGTGGTTTTCTCGTAGATTAATGTGTAAGTCTTGTGTTTTCCCTTTTCTCTGCCTTTCTTTTGTTTTTTCGGCTCTTATTACTGTAATCGTAAGAATCCACAAATATTGTCTTATGATAATAAACAACATACTGCAGCTTCTGGCTTACCGCTGATATTAAAATATTTCCTTTATTATAAAAAAAAAAAANNAAAAAAAAAAAAAAAAGTTTAAACATCTCGTTTAATGCCACAATTTTATTATATCTTTTAACTGCTACTTTAGCCTTATTGATGCAAACAAAACTTTCAGCTGTTAATACATATTTTTTTATTATTTTGACAGAATGTCCAGTAACAGTAGAATTTGCAAACAATTTTAATGCTACATTTTGTCGGACAGCCCATTGACAAATATACAAACTTGTTTATGCTCGTGCAAAAAAAAAAAAAAAAAAAAAAAAGTTGTCAACAGACGAGCACAAAACACAAAATGTGTACCTATGTATAGCCTCAACTTTAACTCAAACGGAGGAAGCTTATTGAATTTTCTCAAAAGTATTCGAAAAAAAAGCGCACATAACGTGAGAAGCGAATTATGCAGGAGTTTTATTTCTTCTTTTTATTTTCCATTCGCATTTTCATGACCCCTGAGGGTCAGCGTGCCTAACCAATTGGATTGCTTAGCAATTCAAAATCACCGTGATGCACACGGCAGAAGCATACCACTACAACTCCACATTTGTACAAAGTGCTCGAAGATGTTGTTGGGAAAATTGCGGTAGTTTGCAGTTATACATGAGCCAAATTTTGTTAATGTACATTTAAACAAGACAAGAAATATCGAAAGAAAACTCATATTTAATATTATACATGTATAGGGAGTTTTAAGCTTTGCGCTGCATCCGTTAAATTTTCCGTAAAATTTTGGTACATCAATACCTTTCGATGCCACGAACAAACTGGATCGTTTCAGAAATGAAGAGTAATTGGCATCAGCTCTCCTCTTTAATGCGAACAAATGGTGCAGTTTGTTCGAAAAAAGTTGATGTATAGAAGGGTAAAAAAAACGGAAAAAGATAAAAATGTTTCATTATTTCTGATTAGTAATTTTGTTCCGTAAATACTCTGTTGCGTAGGATTCTATGGTCTTGGGGTGCGCACGAAGTAAATAGTCGAGAAACTATAGTATCAACGTCTTCATTTATGCAAAAAACGAGAGAAGAGCGCGTCGCGTGTGTACGACCTTCGTCCTTGCCGGTTCCAGCCAGAGAGAGTGCTATTCTTATTATTATTATTACTTTGTTATTGCTATTATTATTATTACTATTATTATTATTATTATTATTATTATTATTATTATTATTATTATTATTATTACTACTACTACTAAAAAAGGCGATGGTTAAATTAACCCATATGTATTCAACTTTATTTATAATTAATTGATGAAAGGTATGAGCTGCATTAAAGTTTCAATTTGTAGAAGCACGTTTTCAATTTTCGCGGTATTGAGACAACTGGACCGTTTAGTACTGACGTTCACCGCTACACATCGCGTGCTTCTGCATTGAACTAACTCGCAAGTGTTTCACAAGTACTCCCTTTATTAATTCGCCTAAAAACGGTCGTTCGGAATAGCCCCTCGGCCCTAACGGCCATAGCCAAGCTTGGGGGATTGTTCCTCCCCCTCTGGGTTACGGGTAATCAGGCCTTCACCTCTTGGATGAAGCCCGTAACCCGCCGCTTTCACCGAGCTACAGTCGCTCTGAGTCGTTCCTTCTCTTCACTTCACTTCACTTCCCTTTCCTCTCCGGGGACCGTTTTGCAGCGATGCTAATCCTTTTCATTGTCACAGCAAGCTCCGACACCACCCCCGGCGGCGAGCTAGAACGCAAGGAGGCCTCCGATAGGGAATCGTCCTGAGTGTCGAGCACGAGAATTCGGCGGCAGTGACGCGGGTGGTAACACCGGTACACAACGATTCTGCAGAATGCAGAATCCCGAGCGTACAAAGTGATGAAATCCATCACCGTTCGACGAGAATTAACGTCTGTCGAACCGGCGCACAGTGCGGCCATAAGTCCAACAAAAAAAGTTTCTATTTAGGGCTGTTTTCATCCTTCAAGTTGGCTGCACTGATTCTCTAAGAAACTAAAATCGTTCATAGTAATGACTAATCCGTCATGCCACTTCCTTAGGTTCAGTTGGAATGTGGCCTTCGCTCGAGCGTCACTCTACAGTTAAAATACACTAAGTACCATCATTTTTATTTCTTTGTGAAATTCAGACAATTTGCAAGTACCCATTCTATAACATGTATTTTAAATTGATTTTAAATTTGTGTCTTCAATGTATTGAGTGAAAACTCAATTTTAATTGTTTTGAGAAACGTAAACATAGCTTTTTCTGATGCAACTTTGAAGTTTTATACGAATACTTATAAAAATGTATGATTATTCATAAGTATTAATCACAAATGTGAGGGAAAAAGTCAGATAACATTGACTACCTCAAGAATTACAGTTGTTAATAATTGAAGAAAAAAAAAAAAAAAAGAAAAGAAACATAGTAATCATGCATGAGCTGACAGAATTATACACTTGAAGTCACACTCTGTATAATATACTTGGCGATAAAAGCACATTATCAGAGGCGACCCAACGTTGTTGTGTTATGATCCAAAATAAACTGAATAGAAGAAACGACGACGGGCACGAAAATAATAATCAGTGGCCAAACTCGTTTCAACCAACCATCCTACATCCGCCGAAAGATATTGCACGACTGATTAATCAAGTGAACGACCGAATGACTCGTTTGGTTGTGCATTCCATCGAGACCCAACATTAAAAAAATAAAAAATATCTGAGAAAAAAAGTAACAAAGCTACACGATCGAGCGAAAAAATAGCCATTATATATGTCGTTTACTGATTCTGTAGAGTTTCATCCCTCGCCTAGCAGTGCAGGAAATAGGAATCCCTCCTCTCCGGTGTACACATCCTCCCCTCTTGCTCTCGTTGGTCTTTGCTCTTTTGCAAAGTCATGCAACGAATGTGTGTTCTCATGAAGTTTGGTAGAGGGAATGAGGGGAACCCCAAAGAGATGGAAAAAAAAAAAGAAGAAATTAAGGGAGATGCAACACGTAACCCGTCGATTTCAGCCTCCGTACTCACCTGATTCCCCTACCCGCTTCCCCATTGGCATTAGTGTCGATGCGCGTCTACATACTTTTTTTTGCCACGATTTTCTTTTTATACGCTCTTCCTCCGTCTCCGTCGTTTGCACGTGAGCGCTTTCGCCACTGTGGCCGTAGAGTCGGTTGCTCGTGCTGTACGAAGATCGGCAAGAGGAGCTCTCCCCCTCCTCCCTTAAGTGTACCTATTGTGATAATGGTGTGTCAGGGTATTCCGGAGCCAAGAGCACACCGAGAGCATTTAGTGTAGCAGCAACAACAGCATTAGTCGCGCGAGCATGTGTCAATGTGTATAAATTGAAGACTAAACCAAGTCACATAAAGACTCGCGCGCACGTGTAGTAATCGGCATTATACTGTATGAGCGCCGGTTGCGGGAGACGGTGAGATTTGTTTTTCAAAGCTCAGTGCGGCGCATAAAAGACTCTTTGTGTGTTTACAGCAGCCAAATTTTATGCGTACATGACGATTACAGTGGATGAGGGTACATTTAAATATATATCATGTATCGTGATCGGCAAGTGAAATCGGTATACCGGTGCAGTGGAAAATTAATGTTGGTTTTTGAAAAATAAATGTGGAGGTACTGAGTATGCCGATGGCCGATGTGTTTTGACACTTTCATGAGTTTGCAGTTCATCGGGCGTTATATCACCGGTTGATAGTGTGTATATATGTGGTGTTTTTTTTTCTGTCCGGTAAGTTGTGTCTTATACTTGACGCGTGTCCCCAACGATACTTTGATCTTGGCGATGGTTCATTTTTTTTTTTTTTTTTTTTTTTCTTCACCACGTAGCACTTCTTTTCGTTTTTGGTCTGAAACATTTGGTTCATCAGCATAAAAAAGTTTTCTAACGCCTTACTTTATACGAGCTTCAAGTGGCTCGCACAACTAACGGTGTTATTTAAAAAACTTTGTACAAATCGGTTTTAATTTTGTACCGCCAACTGTACATACATACGCATCAATTATCCGTAATCATTAGCCGCGCAGCTGTACTAAGAGTTTTAGATGCGTATCTTACGTAATTTCATTTTTTTTTTTTTTTTTTCAAAGTTTGCTCGTCAATTTTTGTACACCAAGACAAAAGATCTGCCAATGATCGAGTAATTATTATTTTACGCAAAATAAAAGTACAACTTATCGAGTATTCTTCTACAGATCAAACTTTTTAAATTTCTTGATAAAATGAAAAAAAAAAAAANAAAAAAAAAAAAAAGAAGGGAGAGCATGTATCCATACGCAAAACAAAGCAGTTATTAAACATTTATCTAGCTCACGCACGGAGCTCTGCTGTAAGAATAAACTCATGATTAATTGAACAAATAATATGCTCAAAGCCACTCGAACCTTACGTAGGTATTTGTTTGAGATTCTAAAACTACGTTCCAGTACAAAGGCGCTAGTGAAAAGTGAAATACGCACCGCTTGTATACATATATGAATACGGACGTTTAGAGAAGAAAAACTCATTACCCGCACATACATCTGTGTACTTAATTGCGTGCGTATATGCTTTCAAGATAATCATTGATTATTCTGATACTCTCTGTTCCACTCGATTATCCCCGAACATTTCGAGTGACGCAAAAAAAAAAAAAAAAAAAAAAAACTTAAAGTGACACTCGACATTATTACACATTCGCTGGCACGTATTAATCATGAACTCTTTTTACTAGGGTTTTGGTTTTTCTTTCTCGAAATTACCCGCGCTCGTCGCGCACAACTCGTTCTCGCATCGGTGGCAAGAAAAAGTGTGACTTGTGATTATACGGACGGGAGTGAATAAAAAAAAAAAAAAAAAAAAAAACATCGGTGGCAAGAAAAAGTGTGACTTGTGATTATACGGACGGGAGTGAATAAAAAAAAAAAAAAAAAAAAAAAAAACCATCTGCAGGTACTCTCTTACGTAAGCCCTTGGATGTACGTACACCATTATTTCATCCGATAGATATACCATTTTATATTTAGCATGTAGAGTGCACACGAGGATCTGTTTCTTTACTCCTTGAATGCCGAACGATTGTTATTTATTCTTCCACTAGGCTAACGATTTTTTTTTTTTTTTTTTTTTTCATCACACTCGACCGAGCGTCGCAGCGCGCCTATTTATCATTTTAATTAATTTTTTGGCGCGTGCTATCGCGCACGTAAAAAATGTCACCGTACATCACAAAGATAACTACTTTTTTCAAGTTCGCTCTTCAATTATCAATAAACATGGATTCGAGTACACGAGTCTAATCCACCTGTCAACTTTTTTCTACCCTCAATGCTATAATTATATACTACTGTGTCCGATCTCTTCCTGTCGGTGATAATGATATACATAGTAATTGATTTCCTTGGACTCGTGTTCTTGCTCTGAAACGGCAACGGCTCGAGCCTCTCTATCACTGTTGGACGCCTTTTTATTTTTTCGTCGCTCTCTTCGCCGTGTCGATGAACCAGCCAGCAGGTTTGGTCCCTCGTCTCTTACTTCCCTTTTTTCAGATCCTTCGCTGGAATCTCGTTGTCCATGCACTCGCGTGTGCATATTATACTTGTGTGTTTTGTTGTACTCCTTGACTTACACGGACACCGAAACTGCACATTTGCTTTAGTATCGCTTCGCCCGCAACTCCGTTCGTGCGTGTTTCGACGGAATTTCATTTTTTTTTTTTTTTCAACATGAGTTTTCCAATAATATATTCTTCCATGGTGCACTTTTCCAGTGAAAAATATTATTTACTATTGTTATAAGACTATTTTTATCTCCAAACAACTCGGTGGTATTATTTTTTTTTTTTCCCCAAGTTTCAAGGAACAAGATTCACACGAGTGGCAGACAAGTTTGTAAGAAAAGCTTTTTTTTTTCGTTAAAAAAAAAAAAAAAAATTGAACTCGAATCTGTTCACCAAGAAAAGGCATATTTTTTACTTGTGACTCGCGAAAATACTTTCTAAAAATATCCTGATATATACCTACTTAATTTTGGGTTTTAAATATAAGAGTGATTAATTTGAACCACGTACTGCAGCTTCTGTTTTTGTTTTAAATTTTGAGCCATTCGGTGTGCGTATAATATACGGGACGAATTTATATAAATCTATCAATCTGAAGTGGGTAAACATCGGAGCAACTTGTGTTCGGCATCGTGTAAAAGTCAATGCGATTAACAATAATCAACTTCCGCAAATAACTTGTCCGACCAACTGTCACGCGTATTTTTTGCAGATCGCCTCATTGAATCGAGCGCCCGTCTAGAAGTATATATATCCTTCCTCCGCTCAATGACCGTACCATTATGTTGCGTGTGAAAAAGAAAAAAAAAAAAAAAATGTACTTATCCTCCAAATGGTTTTGTTCGTGCACAGAAAAAGTTGTCGGCAGGGAAGATGAAAAATACGCTGGCAGCGATATTTCAAGGTGTATACGTCGACCGGGGCCTTGAAACAATACCACCAACAGTCGTGCAGCTCTCCATTGAAAATCTGAAAATCAGCCTCACTTGGGCCCTCGATCAATGCCGCAACCGTTAGCAGCATCGCCAGTCGATTAGTGCACCAAAACAGGGGAGTCGCTATGGCTGATCTAATGGAGGTCACCACCACCACGGGCACCGGCTCCAAGGGTGAGGACTGGCGGGACGAGGATCTCGCCTTCTGGGAGGTAGCCCTGCTCGGGTTCATACTGGCCGTGAGCGTCGTGAGCAACGGCCTCGTGCTCTTCGCCATTTATTTGAGGCGGTACAGGGGCAGGAGGCACAGGCTGACGCGCATGCACTTTTTCGTGATGCATCTGAGCATCGCCGATCTCACCACCGGACTGCTCAATGTGCTGCCCCAACTGGCTTGGGATATTACGTATAGGTGGGTTTGTGTGATTTGCGTGGCTTAGTGAGTCTTATCGAGGTATTGTTGAAAAAAAAATTTAAAAAAAAAACGTCAACCGATCGAAGAACTCGGATAAGAGGTGATACGACTTGTATTGGAAACCATAGAATCAATTGTTCTTTAAATTTAACGCAAACGTGGGCAATTATTTTATTTTAAATATATTTCTCTTTGTTTCAGTAAGTGTACAGTAGTGTAGAAAATAAATAGTACCTATGAGTTTTCTATCGAAAAATTGTATCGATTATCGGTTCATTCAAGGGTGTCTTAAAAATGAAAAATATAATTATAACGATGATAATGTTCATTGTATCCAAAAATTAAAACTTTATTTTAAAAAATATCTTCATCCAAGGAATTTTTTTTTTATTCGTTTTTTTGTAGTGGCTAANTGGCTAAAAAAATTGATTACACCATTCTTTCATTAAATTTTATTTTTGTTTTTATAATGCTATTTTCTGTTAACTAATAAGTTTTTGTTTATTTAATGTACTTGAAAACATGCATCCTAATATTTTGAGCAAACCTGCATGATAAAGTGTACTTTCTTTACATTGTACTTCACGTTCTTTTATTTATAACTTTTTAAAAAATGTGTTTTGTAAAAAACTTTTTTTTTTTTTTATTCAAAATAATTTGATTTCTACTCGGCATAATGACATAATTTTTAGTATCGATAACATTTTGTGAAAAATTGTATTAGAATGAATTTTCCACGGCGTACAAATTTGGATAATTGATGTTTTTCAAAGTACGTCACTTGTAAAAAGACGATAAGAGTAAACGATCACATTTGGCAACAATCACCTTTAAAGAAATACTTTCTTTGATCACGTATTCTTTAGTTAATTCATGTGTTATAATTGTTTATTATGTATAAATTATGTTGAAAATGTATCATATGTTCGAATATTTAAAAACGCGTTATTACAATTCAACAAAATGTGTCACCTCTCCAATTTTTTTGAAAACACATTGTCTTAAATGATCATAAAAATTTCCTCAAAATATGTCTTTTATAAACACAATATTCCCAAGATTTTTTTATTAAATGCATCATCCCAAGCAATTCTTGAATAAGCATCTTTCGTATGAATATTAAAAAAAAAGGTCATCTATAAACATCTATCTCAATGATCATTAAAATCGTATTATTGTCTCCAAAAATTTATTTGAAAGCGTATCGTTATCCTAATTTTTAATATAAAAAAAAAATTCAAAAGATCTCGGTGTATCTTTATTGTTTAATATTTAATTAATTTGTACCAAATTATGTGGTATAAAACACACAGACATGGATTAACTGTTCCCCTACTCCGTATTGAATTTCGCTATGGTTCCAAATACTCGCATCACTAAATTAAAATGTGCGCCGTGAAATGTTACATAGACATCGACATACAGTTAACCCATGTTTGATGTTTTTGTTTGTTTTCTCATCCCCAATTTGCACCGTACAAAACAAATGATGCCCATAGATTCAAAGGTGGAGATGTGCTGTGTAAGATGGTAAAGTTCGGCCAACCGCTGGGCTCGTACCTGAGCTCCTACATCCTCATAGCCACGGCAGTCGACAGGTACCACGCCATTTGCTTCCCACTAAGCTACTGCCGGACGACCTCGAGAAGGTCGAGAGTCATGGTGTACAGCGCCTGGGTGCTCGCCCTCATCCTCTGTGTACCCCAGGTACGTGGCCCAAATAAACTCACCTGCCACATCTGACTCCCTCTCTTCCTAAAAATAGACATATCTGTAATAATTAAGATCCACATAAAATCTGACCCCCCCCCCTCCCCCCGATGGAAGTGGTTCTCTTAGTAAGGCGTATTATTTGCGTGTTCCAGGTGTTTATCTTCTCCCTTCGAATAGTATCGGCTGGCGTGTGGGACTGCTGGGCAACCTTCACCGGTCACGGGCAAAAAATCTACGTCACCTGGTGCGTATACTACTGCATGGATCAGTAAATATAATCAACAAGACAGCCGATGCAGAATTGAAAATGAAAAAAAAAAAAAACAAAAAAAAAAAACTATGATGTTTCCACGTCCACCGTGCAGGTACAGCTTGACCGTGTTCCTGGTGCCGTTCAGCGTGCTGTCGTTCACGTATACCCGGATCTGCTGCAGCATCTGGCGCAACCGGGACGTCCTAGTGCTGGGCAATCTCGAGAAACAGCAGCAGCAAGCCCTGTCCAACCAGGCGCGCAACCAACACGCCCTCATTTCCAAGGCCAAGATGAGCACGGTCAAACAGACCCTGGCCGTCGTCATCCTTTACGCGGCCTCGAGCTTACCTTTCATTGGCTGCCAACTGTGGGCTACCTGGGTACCCGGTGCCGCCGAGTCGCCCTTCTACACTGGTATGCTGTGTTTTTTCATACCTACAGTCACGAATTTTTTCAATTTCATACGCACGCGTGCTTTGCGCAGGTCCGGCGTTTACGATTCTGAGTTTGCTGAGTAGTCTGACGAGCTGCGTCAACCCCTGGATATACTTGGTGTTCAGTCGCGAGCTGCGGGTCTCGCTGATCAAGTTCCTCCACCACTTGGTTAAGCGCAATAGGTCATCGAGCTCCGGTAAATACACCAAAATCTGCTAAAACCCGCCCGTTTGGGGTCATTGGGGTGACTATCTTTAATTTTCATTTTGATCAAACATATCCCCCCGCCCTTTTTTTTTTCCTGTTGCTCTTTGACTTTTCGCAACGGCTTTGTGGATCTGTCGATGCACGTAACGCGGAGGTTTTTTCTTTGCAGAGCGAGCCTCGAGCAACGAGAATTCAAACGAAACGAGATCCTCGAAAAAGTCCTCTTTGATCTCGAGGGTGACTCGTTACACGAGCTTGATTATTTATCGTTCCAGTAGCAGCGACAGGAGTACCAAGTGAACATCCCTTATCCTTCCCCCCCCCCCTCCCCCGCATCTATTCTACCCTCTTTCTATCATACCCGACCAGGTATAATTTATATATATATATCTGTACAAAGTGCAATCACTGCGTGTAACATATTATACATATATATTTTTCATTTTTTCACTGTAAATATGTGATTTGTAAGGTTTAATAAAGTATACGTCGTTTTACACAAACAGGAAAAAAAAAGTATTGGTGTTTCAAACTTTGTTTATACATTATTTCGTTTCAACGCACAATATGTCCCTATACACACGTCGTTACATGTTAATTCAGTTTGATGCGGTGGTCTCTACAAATAAAATCATCAAACCGAACCTCAAGCAATAAATGGCGAAAAAGCTCGTTCCTGGACTTTTCAAGTGGATGTATTAAAAAATGTATACTCATAAAAAAAAAAAAAAAAAAAAAAAAAAACCATCTGCAAAAACTCAGAGCAACTGACAACTTTTTGGATAGTTTGATTAACTTACGGGGCTCANAAAAAAAAAAAAAAAAAAAAAAAAAAAAAAAAAAAAAAAAAAAACGTAACTTTACTATAGGACGTGAAACATGACAGTGTCGTATGGTTTGTAGAAATTTTCCGACGAGCTCCAAGAAAAATCCATAATAACGAAATTCTATAGCTATACAGGCTCGACGTTTTGTCAGCACGTCTATACATACCTAATAAATGCGTTCCTTCGATACAAAAGCTCGAACGCTATCAGAGCTTGGAAAAAAAGGACAGCCAATAGCCGTTCTCCTGCGGAACGAAGCTCAACGAAAGCTCGTGCATGCGACGTCGACGAGCATAGGTATAAAGGTATACATATACCATATGTACGGGCATTGTGTTGCACGTAAAGTGTTGCCAAGGCTACGCCTACAGTAGGAGCTTGAGCGTATGTAACACGTAGCGGGAGGGTACATCGATTCCTCGTTGGGCCATCGGGGGGTAGACGAAATAAGAAGCGTCGATCGGACAGTGGACAGTCTGCTTACGCACCCCCCGGCGACAAATGACGGAGCACAGGGGCGCCTCGTTTGCGCACTCGTGCGTCAAAGTGCCGCTGGACCCGTACAGCCGACAACCGACGCCGGCTTACGAGAGGCCAAGAACTGAAAAGTCTATCTTACCTACAAAGTCGCACTCGGCGTCGTTGGTGACTTTGCCCTGCGGGAGGGAAGAGGACCGGTGCAGCAGGTACGTACTATACCAAAGCTCTGTTAAGTCGACATTCTGTATATCCTTATCGTCTGTGTTCATAGGCAAGTTTTTTCTTGTTGTCCGAACTTTTTTCATTTTCTTTTTTCTGGTGCTTTGGATGTAACATCGTAATGATGAGTGAAGAAATTTGCCAATTCAAGTGTACCTTTTTTATTTTTTATTTTACGTGACTGGTTTAATTTTTTCCAGGGCAAATTGGTGTAATTATGTATATCAAACCTTTAGTAACGGTTGAGATGGGGCATTATATGTGGATCCCATTAAAACAATACCTTTTTTTTTGCACTGCACGCTCTTATCAATCGTGTGATTTTTTTTTATCCAAATGGCAAAAAAAAAACATTAACTGTTTTGTGTCGACGAAAAGTTATGAGTGCCATGTCCTAAGACTTGAAAATTTGAAGAAAAAAAAATACCAATGTAATTGATGAGTCTTCCTTTACATTAAGTATTTATATTGTAAGATATTTTAAAAGTAAACTATTTTAATAAAAGTACAATTTATCAGTTTTATAAAAACATTCATTCTTTTAAATGTATGTATTTTACACTAAAATTAGTTATTCTTTGAAATAAAAAAATCATAAAATATTTTTATTTTTAATGACAGCCAACTTTTCTCGGCTGTACACGAAAATTAACTGTCAAGTGTCAATTTAACTGAGGATTAAACATTTTGTTGATTACTTGTTGCAGCCAAATAGTATACTATAATAAAGTGTTATATTTATAAGATAAACAATACAACATGTTATAATTAAACTTTTTGTGTTTGCTCAAAATCTTGTAAGTCATGAATAAATTGTTTTAGTTTTATGCATGAATCAAGCCACTTGTTTACAACATGTGAAGAAAAAAAAAAAAAAAAAATCCTTAACAGAATGGACAACAGAATCCTAAGCGAGCTGTTGAGCGCCCGCGAGGAGCACAAGCTTCTGGAGCACGTGCATCGTAGGGACGGCGACTGCCACGAGGACATGCACCACCTGACAAACGAGCAGTTCAAGCAGAAGCTGGACCACCTGAAGCGCAGGCAGCGCATGCTCCTGAAAAATCTGCGCAACTGCCTCGAGCAGGCGGACCACGACGATGCCGCCAACAACTCGTGCCCCCTGATCCAACGGGACACCACTCCGAGCGGAAAAAGTGAGGAAACGACGGCTCGAGCGTGCAGCAAATCGCCCCGAGGTTGCACCGAGCGTAACAACCTCCCAACCGATCTCGCCCTCAAGGGCAGACGGTGCAACTTATTGGAGCAGGCCAACAGTCCCCCCTTGGGCAATTTCTCCTGTCTCGCCGAGGATCAGGATTTCCTCACCTACAGGTATACGGGTAACCCAACGATTTGTCCTTTTTTTTCACACTTTAATGACTAACAAAGCCATACTTGAGGAGCAATCGGTCACTTGCCCGTTAAGTAGTGCAGATCAACGTTTCGTCAGACAATCGACGCTTCCCGTATACCGAGTCGGAACAACTTTTGTTTCGAAAAGAGAATGGATGATTTGGCATCTTGCAGTCTTATTCCGCGTTATTTTCGTATCAAGTGTACCTTTACTCGTTAACTAAAACTGTAAAAGTCTCGAGACTTCAACGGTGCGCAGTCTCGCGGATTCAAGTGAAAGTTGCCTCTACCTAAACTGTAAATTTTGCACGTGCATGCCTAATAGTTTTTTTTTTCTTTGTTCAAACTGTTCACGTGAAAAAAAAAAAAAAAAAAAAAACACACAGGCGCAACGATCCCGAGTTGTGGTTGCACAGGGAGCGCGGAAAGGCCGCAAAGACCCTGCGCAACGAGAAGATCCTGTCTTTGGACAAGTGCAGCCTGTGGAGCTCGGGCAGCGAGTCCAAGAGCCCGGCCGACGAGAGCGACGAGCCGGGGGTGAAAGTCGAGACCAAGAGCTTGCCGTCCCTCAGTCCCGAGCGCTGGCAGCCCACGGCTACAAAACCCTTCAACTTTGGGCTCAGGTACACGTAGGCGTGCGCCAAAATAAAATAAAACGCAACTTTACCCTTTGTTTTTTTCGAAAAAAAAAGGGAGGTCACGGAAAAGTACCTGAACGAACAGCCCGAGTTGAAGCAGCAACCGAGCAAGGGTAGAAACCCGGCAAAGAAGCGGCGCATGAGACCGGTGCCCCTCACCTCGAAAATACCCCTCTACGACAAACTCATGGCGGAAAAGGAGGAAAGGTATACAAAATTCTTCACGCGATTCTTCACCAGCGAAAAATAACAACGAGCCCCTCGACTCCCCCCCCCCAACCCTTGACTTTTGCTATCTCCTATTCTTACACGCCTACCCTTTCATCGTCAAATTGTCCGAGTATCGCCGACAGAAGCCGAATCGTACGGGAGGAGAGCGCGCTGAGCCTGTTGTCGCAGGTGCGGCCCTTCAAGCTCGAGTGCGAGCGTCGAGCCTTGCGCGCGCTGTCGCGTTCGAGTCCCGAGCTAGGGCGCACCTTAACCAACGGTACCGGCAAGCGCGGCCCCACTCGCTTCAAGGCGAACCCCGTGCCGCGGGGCCTCTTCAGCGCCGACGTCTACGACCGCATGCTCGAGGAAGAGTACTTCAGGTGGGACCCACGTATATACGGATAACTTTGAATCCCCACCGCAAACAAAAAAAAAAAAACAAAAGTTCTCTCCCACCGCCAGGAAGTTGCAGAAGCGCATCCGAGCCTCGGAGTTGCTCAAGTCGGCCTCGCTGCCTCCGTCCATGGCGAGGCGCGAGCGCTGCCGGTCGGCCTCGTGTCCGCGCTCGAGGTCCGCGGCCAGGAGCACGGCCTCGTCGCGCTCGCGCAGCTGCAGCTCCATCGCTGGTAATCGGGGCTGCTGCGCCCCCCTCCTCACCGAGCACTCGAGGTGCTCGGCCCTCGTGTCCACCCTACCCATCCACGGCACCAATCTCGCGGCCATACTCAGGGCCCAAGCTGCCAGGTATGTGTGTGTTACCCTGCAACGAGATACATACATACACTTTCAGCCTCGTTGCATCTTCTCTTTGTGGAAAATCTTCACTGAGAGACAAATATAATAAACATCACTGTGCTGGTGTACGATCATCTGGGGGAGTTTTTACTCCGGCTAACCTATAATTTTTACCATTATTCTGGACAGTAATTTCCATGGCACAAACAGTAAAAATCACCATAAGTACAACAAATGCGTTTGCTGTTCTAAATACTAAAAGTGATTGTTGTTCAAATGGTAAATAGTCCCTAGACGATCGAACAGTACCAGATTACCATTCCAGCACAGTGATTTTTATTTATTTTTTTTTTCTCTCAGTGTACACGTATATAATTTTCACGTGCTCTGTTTAACGTGTATGATTTGAAAAAAAAAAAAAAAAAACGGAGAGCTGTAGCGATGGATTTGCTTTAGGGAAAAGCTGGAGCGCGAGATCCAAGAGAGGCTGGAGGAGAAGCGTCGCGAGCAGATGCTACAAATGCGCAAGACGCTGATCGGTAGAAAGCCCGCGTGGAGGGCTCTTCGCTTCGCAGCCCGGTAGGTGCTTAATGTACAATACACGCGAAATGACGATGATAGACGATACAGTGGTTTTTTGTTTTTTTTTTTTTTGTGATGTTTGAAGACACGAGCACGAGAGGGACTTGGACTTTCGGGCGTCGCTGCGGCGGGACGAGGCTCGGGAGCAAGCCGAGCGCCACAAGCTGCACATGGAACTGATGCTGGACCGCGTCACCCGCATACCTACCCTCTTCGAACGATACTCGCAGGTGACTCGCTCTCCCATATAATTCGTAAAATCGCGTGTGTGTAACCATATCGTCCTAATTGTCTATCTTCTTTTTCTTGAAAACTCATCCTCTCCACCCCCGTCCCACCTCGAAAAAAAGCATCACCAATACTAACGAAAGATAACAAAATCTCATACCATCACCGGCTCCGTCTGGAGGATGAGACGCTGTTGCAGAGCTTCCACCGCGGCAGGGATAGCCCGACGAAGGGCGAGCGTATCTCCGGCAGGGGGAAGAAAAAGAAAAAGAAGAAGCCCGTGGGCCAGCACCAGAGCTCGAGCAGCACCGAGTCGTACATAAGCCTGAACAGCAACAACAACTCGAGGCCGAGCTCGGGTTCGCTGAGCTCGCCGACTCCCCCGGTTTGCCCGTGGAGCGGCTCTTTGGTGTCATACAGGCTCGCTGGCACCGACAAGAGGAAGAACAACGACAGGGGTCCGCTCAAGGTGTCCATCAACGAGACCGCGGAGCTGATCGAGGACGATGGGAGCTTTTCCGTGGATTCGGCGAGCAGTCGGGTGCGCGAGGAGCGCGAAAAACGCGCCCTGCTCGGTGGGGATGCTCAAGAAAAGGAGTGACTCTTTTTTTTTTTTTTTTTTTTTTTTTTGTGCAAGATTGGGTTCGGGGGTGAGCGTACCGATTGCCACGCTTGAAGTTGGACCTTACAAAAAAAGTTCATTATGCTTGTTGAGTAATAATATGTTCTTTTTGTGATTTGAAACATTTTTCCTTTTTGTCGCGATCACAATTACTTGAGTTGATGAGAAAAATTATTTAATAAAATTAACGAATGATCATGATTATGGTCACAGAATATGGTGGTACAGTACTCGAGAGAGTTGCGTTCTATTCAGATTAGTAATTTTTTACAGCATAAAATGGCCATTGCAACAAACTAGAATTAAATAACGCTGTGATAGTTTTTAATAACCTTTTTTCAAATACTCTATCGGATACACAATTATTGTGGATACATATATTTTAAGTGGTAGTACTGTATTGACCTTTTAAATACATACGATCAATAGAATTGTCATACAAATGGGTTCTCCAACAATGTATCGTTGTTAAATGTTTGTGTTCATTTTATCGTAAATATTTTATTGTTGCTTGGTAATGCGTTTACAAATACGCGCAGTCTTATTTTTTTTTATGGATGAAAAAAACAACAACAACAAAAAATTTAATATTATATTATAGATATAAGTACCAAGTGCAATATTAATTATAAAACATATAATACGTTTGCAGCTTGTATTATATATTAATAGTTTATGGACGTGTACGCATACTTGATATTTAAGGATTCGCAAAAAAATACCTCCGAGTTTCACAACCAAAGACTGTAAATAAAATAACAATAATAATAGTAATTATTACAGCAATAAAACAACGAAAAATAAATTATTGAGTACACGTTCGATGAAACATATATGAGTATTGTCGATGAATTGAATTAAAATTTCATCTCGCAAATAATCGAAATTTTTCTTTGTTAACAAATATTATTTACATAAGCGTGTGCGTACAATACTTAGAATAAATCGCACTTTTAATAACTAAGCCACACGAGACGTACGATGCGTTAAACAACATATCCATCATCCAATCAGTCAAGAATAACACAAGCCTCGGGGGCTCTTTACTTTTACGCACCTCTACGGATAACAAAAAAAAACACACTCACGGAAGAATGCGTCGATATCGATGATGAATGAAAGACAAAAAAAAAGTCTTTTTTTGTTTTCGCGCAAAAACGGCGCTCATCGCGCACTGGTGCACGTCCAAGTATAGAATGATAGCTCATACAATGACGCGGTTGAGCGCAAAAAAAAGGTAAGGAAAAAAGAGCGAAGCAAACAAATGCAAAACAAGTCGTTATTTTGGCATGTAGTTCAAACGCACCATCATCGGAAGGATATAAAAATAAGTAACAATCATCATCATCATTGTCTCGTCGTGGTCGTCAATCGCGCATATTATCGAGAAGCCAATCGAGGTAGAAGTTAAGTCTCGTGTAAACGCCCGGAAAGCCTTGGGTCCCGCACAATTTGATGCCAAAACTGACGACGCCGTACTGAACGTAACGAGGCGTGCCGTTGTAAACCGACGGGGCGACCAGGGGCCCACCAGAGTCACCGCTACACGAGTCCTTGCCCTGTTCCCCACCAATGCAGATCTGCTTGTGCCAAATTGCCGCTTGTCTCTGGTACGTCTTGGCGCACTCGTCCTGAGAATAAATCGGCAGGTAGATCTTGAGCAGCACCGTGCTCGCGATCCTCTGCTCCGTCACGCCCCAACCGGTCACCATCAGCTGCATCGGGGCAATGAAAAATGCTCGTATATAATTGTACACAATGCTCGTTCACGAGTTTTTCGTGCCTACCTTTTTCGACGAGATTTTGGCTGACGAGCCGATCGGCATGCAAACCGGCTTGACGTTGTCCGGCCGGAAGTCGATGTCGCGATTCACTCGGATGATGGCGATGTCGTTGTGGTAGTTGACCGTCGAGTACTTTTCGTGGGACGTGACGCTCTCGATTTGAAAGTCCTGGTATCGCTCCGCGCAAACTTCCTCGGAAGTGCCCACGGCCTCGCAGTCCCTTTCCTTCGCAAAGTCGTGCTCGCCCACGCGCACGCCTATCAGTCGCAGCCCTGAAAGCCAAAGGGGTCATTGTTCGTTACATCATCCATTGAGGAGAATAGATCAAATTATTAAACATATATATGTATATTTTTTTTTGTCACCGATAGGTGTGCATGTTATTTCTAGTTGCCGTGCAATGATGTATCTGGAGACTTATAACACCTCTCGTATTTATTTTAACGTTAAAGAGATTTTACGTGCGCGTACCCGGAAATTTTCGATAAAACTCTTATCGAGGCTCATGACGCTACATCTGCATCAAATAAAACAATTAAACAATTTCACCGGTGATTTATCGTAGTTGTAAATCTGTAAATCAGTGGCACCGAGGATTCTTAATTCGTTGAAAAAAAAAATAAATAAATAAAAAGACAACGAATCATTATATAACCTATGAGTTTACCGCTTCGAAGAGATATATATTTATCCTCCACGGCGATGGACACCTTCGTCGATGATTGTTTGTTTTGTCGTTTTAACGACTATTTGTTCGCATTTGCAAATTTTTCTTATCGTACAACATGATTGCGTAACACCTGCCGTGTGTAGAAATATATGATTGAACTCTGTCTGTTTATACTCAAATGAATTTGTAATTTACGATTGAGGAGAGAAACCAGCTTTTTTGTTTGAACGACGCGGCAATCTCGAGTGTGGATGCAAAAAAGGAGTCGAAAAGTCCCCCACTCTCTCTCTCCCCAATAAAAAAAAAAAAAAAAAAAAAAAAAAAGGAGTAAAAGAAGAGAAAAACGCACCAGGAGGCAACTGAGCAACGCAATGGGCGGCCGTGAGGATGTAGCGCTTGTTGAGGATGGAGCCACCGCAGCGGAACTCGGGCCGGCCCTTGCCAGTGTCGTAAGACAACAGGGCCATCCAGGGTATCTCGTTGATGCGGGTGACGTTGCCACCGATGATTTTGTCGGAGTTGAATGGCCCACAGTTCTTGTAACCCAACAGACGCAAGTTCGGGTGTTTGGTCACGTCCGGAGGTTGCGTGTCGTCCACCGGCTGCACGGGCCGCTCCGTCGGGGTGATCTGTCAATTATAATCCACCCGATTTTATCGTGCCACTGGTAGGACTTGTGTACATAATATGTGTAGAGCTCACGTTTCTCTCGCAGCAAACTTTCGGGGTCTTGCCCTCGAAGCCGCACTGCGACTTGAGCACTCGTCCCATGGCATCCGGGCTCACGGGCCTCGTTTTCAGCAGAGACAAAATACCAGGGCAGTTGTTGATGTTTATGCAATTACCCCTTACGCCGCTCGGCGCTATGCACCCACCCTCGTCGGGATACACGACTTCTGCAATATCGAGAAATTATCATCATTATTGACTGGAAAAAAAAAAAAACAAAAAAAAACAAACCGTATTCCGATCGGTGTGACGTTTTTTCATCAAGTATGCAACTTGTCTCCCTCACCCCCCCCCCTCCCCCACCCGCCCAACTAATCTGACGAATTCGACAAAAATGTTTCCTCGTTCGTGTATCCACCAAAAAAACAAGAAAATTCCACATTGAAAGAAATAAAGCAATAATGGTACGTCACTAGGGCACAAAGTACAAACATGAGCGATCGAAGGGTCCCGAGTCGCGTGTAATGGTTTTCTTACCAAGGGCGCAAAGTGCCATTTTGTGCCCATGGTAAGAAAAAAAACAAAATTAATAACAATAAAGAGAGTGAAACGAACGCGCCCGTCTTTCAACCAGCATGTATAATTCCGAGGTGGTTGTAAAGGGTAACCGAGCGTTTAGAATGTTGGGGCAAACATCCGCACCTCCGAGCGTGTCCGCGCAAACACGCGGCTTGAAGAGCCAAAATCCAATCCATGAAAGTTCGAGGTTGCACCGTGTCCTCCCGTACTCGAGGATCGGTGACCGATGTCATCCGGGCTTGCATGCAGGGCTAAACAATTATTTACCTATCTACGGGTGTTGCACATACCTATGAAGTACTTACGTGCGGTCCCGCTTCTGGCCAACAGCGCGAGTACCACCAGTGCGACGATCGTCGGCTTGGCCTTGTCTGTAGTCCTCATGCGAGCCATTGTAACGGATAAAACTCCCCAAACAACAAAACTGATGCTACGGTGTACCGCTGTTGGGAAAAAAAAAAAAAAAGTATGTCAACCGATTCTTGCCGATCGAAAATCTTGCGGCTCGGGAGTACAGCGTGCACGGACACCGTTTAGCCTACAGTCGCGAGCGTGCAATTGCACGAGGATATTATAATAGCTCTCCGCCAGCGGTGCAAACCAGTTCTGATTTTGCCTGTGTTTTCCCGCGCTTGAGACTCGCGCGCGTGTGCATATACGTACATAGTTTACGCTCTACCCATCTCTCTTCGTTCTACCGATCTTCACGCTCATTCCGTCTTTTCCGCTTCGATTTTTGTCTCTCTTTTTTTTTTTTTTTTTGTCTCCCCCTCCCCTCAGTTTTGTCGGCCTTGATTTCAGCGGCTGTCGTATATATACACACACGCGTCTGAAAGTTGCGTACACATTTGCTCACATTGACGCGCGCTCGGTCGATCATTTGCGCGAGGCTGCAATTTTTTTTTTTTTTTTTTTCTTTTTCTTTTCCCCAATAAAATTTTTAAAGTAAGTACTTGGCAGTTGTAATCGCGCGACGTGCGACCTAGCGTAAACAATACGTTTCGCATAATTTTCCACGGGCTCGCGAGTCGAGTACAATCGAGTAAAACGCGTTACCTGTGTTTGGACAACTGATTTTTTTTTTTTTTTTTTTTTCGACAATCTTCACCAAAAAAGGTGTTACGTGAATCTCCGCGAATAATGTGTAAGCGTATCGTTGTCGGACGAATCAATTTATCGCAATTTTATGAGCTTATTCATAAAATTTCTTTTTTTTGGCAAAGTTTTTAGCCCAAGTTCCGATGTTTTATATAAAAGACCAATTTTTTTTTTTTTGTTCCAAGAATTACACACTACAAATTTGAATGAGCTGTTCCTTTGAGCCAATCGTCGATCTGGTGACGTGTGAATTCGCACGCAAACGATCGATAATGATATTGACAAAAAAACAGGTTGCATTTACACAAGAAACTACATTTTTTTGCAAGCAGAAATGTTTACGTGATGAAAAATTACTTTTAAAACGTGCACCGGAAGACTGCTAATTTTTACAAATTTATGTAAAAATTTTTCCCCACGTGGTGATAATTTTTTTTTTTTCAGAAGATAAAGTATGGAAAATTGTATTTTACAAACGTTTTCGGCGTCATTAGATCGTATACTTTCAAATGTGAAACGTTACTGTAATTAAAAAAAAAAAAAATTTTATTGTCAGCTATTTTTAACGTTGGCGTAATTTTTAAGCAAGACTTTTTTTTTCATTATTTATTAGTAGTTCTGACTTCTGAAACGCAAAGATTACTACTTAGTCAAGAATGTATAACGCAAAAAAATTGCACTGTGCAAATATAGGTGGACCACGCCTCCTTTTTAATCATAATTTTTTTACAGGATAAATACTGAGTTATAGGTGTTACGTTTTTTTTCCTCTATTACAAAAACGTACGGCATTATTGTGAAGCAGTCATGCTAAAAAAAAAAAAAAAAAAAAAAACAAAGACGTATTGTTGCTGCACCGTGAAAAATAAAAAATTAAATGTCTAGCGCTTTTCCACGCTCCTTGATTAAAAACTTGAAAGTTACGTCACTCCTTTGAACGCAAAATTACATTTTATTTAATAATGGGTGGATTAAATGGATGCGTGTTTATGAAACGGCCCGATGACGTGTGCACTTTGACACCTGTGCGTTTTAACTAGTGTGTACCTGTACATTGTAAACCTAAATTGTGTAACTTCAACTCTTTACTTACCTGTTTTTCTCTGTGCAGTCTTGAGTCACTTTGACTCAACAACCAAGAGTCTTGTTTAAAAACACACTATGCGAGTTCAATGATAAATTGCACGCTGAAGCGCAAGTACACTAGAAAAAAAAAAATGTTACTTATTTCAAACAGTCCGGTGTTTCGTTACGTAGTGATAAATCTTTTTAGGCTGGAAGTTCATGCGGATGCGAACGGGATTCCCCGTTTGAAAGCAGATTATACTTACGCGTGTGTGCGTCATCGATAATTTACTGTCGCAGCTCAGACGAAAGCCTCGCGCAGACGTGTATATGGTCCGAGATCCACGGGGGTTTCCATGGCCTATTCGATTTACGTCAGACGAAGCCATTGAAATTTTTATTCCTTTTTTTTTATTTTAAAAGCGGTTTTTTTATGGTGCGTCACCGTGGCAAGTGTACCGTTAATAATTGTATAAATTTTTAAATAAATAGTTGTATTAATTCATGTATAAAAATAATTTTATACTTTTTATAAGTGAATTTAAAAACTGTATGTCTGTTTCTGGTATAAGTAAGCCAAAAAAAATCACGTTCAGTAATTTAAAATCCGTAAGAAAAATTTGGTAGAGTTTGTACGAACTCAAAAATATTGGGTAATTTTTCTAAATCCCGGACTAGTATGAAATATCAGCTATACCAAGTATTAAAATGTATTATTTTGATAATGTTTAAAAGGAAAATGACGGTAAACAATCAAAAGTACTTCGCTTAAATAGAAGTTGGACAGCTGCAGGTGCTAGAACATGTTGAAGGTATTAATATACCCACCTCACATTGTTTCTTATTCACTCTAGAAAATAATAACGCGTAAGAGATCTATTGTCCATGTCCATGCTTGAATTTTTTCAAACTTTAAATAATGAATGTCTCGGAAACTATAAATTTTAGGGAAAATTTGCAAAAGATGTATTTTGTTATGAATCGCTAAAAAAAAAACTTTCTCTTAAGAAAATCATTGTTCAAACCACTTGCGTCAAACTTTTAGAATTGGTATATGCAAATTTGGATTAAAGGGACTATTTTTAATGAGATTATGCAAGTACGAATCGTTTTTCCAACGGATCCACAGATGTGTCCAAAACTAAAAATAAAAATTTGTCTTTCAAAAACATGCACCAATATTCTTAAAATTTAAGGTACGTCAACGCATACCTAACTTGCACTGACCTCATACAAAATTTCTTTAAATGACGCGGAAGATTATTGTAATTTGTTTGTTAAAAATTAGTGCATTCCTCGAATTTTTTGATGTATACATTTATTTTATTGACATCTAAGATTTTCATAATTTATTTTCACAGTTAAATATCAGAATATTACATGTAGACGAGGGTAGCACAGTTGTTCAAGCTGTGGCTTCACAATATATCTGAGGCAGGTTACCACTACGCCATTGACGATAGCACATTTAGGAAGACTAACACAGCAATACATAATCGTTACTTGCATTAATGTAAAATACACAAAAAAAAAACAGTACAACACGATCACACAATCACTTACGTTTTCTTTTTTTCTTTTCTTAAAACGACACATTCATATACGACACTCATATCTGGCTCACAAGACAATGGCAAATTACACTTGAATATTGCTGAAAATCCAAGGAATGTAGTTATATACATAAGTATAGACGCCAGGCCAGTCTTGCATCCCACAGAATCTACTGCCGAATGAAACAACACCCACTATCTCCCACTTGTCATAGCAATTACGTTGCATGAGAGGACCACCGGAATCACCTCTGCACGAATCCCTTCCATTCTCACCACCGACGCAAATTTGGCTGTCAATCATCTGGACTTGGTATTTTTCCGAGCACAGCTCACGATCTACCAGTGGTAGAGTGACCTTCAGCATAATCTCGGAGGAGATTCCGCTTTCGGTCTTTCCCCAGCCAGCGACTGTTAGTTTTTTTTGGATGTATGGGCCACTTGGTAAACTAATGGGCTTAATGTAGTCGGTGAAAGCCACGTCACGTGAAAGTCGGATAAGGGCTATGTCAGACCGATGAATAAAGGTGTCGTAGTTTTCATGAATAATCAGCTTTTCGATACCAACAGTAACGTACTCGTCATTGCATATGACACCAGTGTCACCAAAAACAATGCAATCTGGATTTGTTGCGGTATTATATTCGCCCAATCTTACTCCGGTCAGGGACCAATCCTCAGGTAAGATCTTGTCTGAGACGCAGTGAGCTGCTGTTAGGACGTACCTATGATTTATGAGGGCTCCACCACAGGATGTTTTTATCCCTTCAGCTGCAATTTTGATAAAAATATCATGTCAATAGATTAATTAGAATATAATAGAGAACAATGATTGCGTGAAATTTTTTTACTTTCAATTTATGTGGAAAAATTCGCTCTTTGTTTTTTTTTAAAGAAAATAAGTGTTCGTTAATGCAAGCAAACACTAAACCGATACGCTAATGATAATGAGGCACGTGATATCAAATAATTTTATCGCAAGTTTCCTGTTTGAAATCTGCAGAACAGCGAAAAATCCAACTACTTGAACAAAAAACTTTTTTTTACACTTATTAACAAGACAAACATCTTAGACCATATTCTTATTACTCTTGTATTCGATTAAAATAAAATAAACACATGCGATCTAAAACACTTTTTGTAGTTTTTGAAATGTCATAGCATTATTGCAAGTAAGTCAGATAAATGTGATGAATTACGTTTTGATTATTGAAATTATCGTCGTTACATACACCTCAAAATCAAAAAATATGCACAGTTACATCTTCATTGCAAGTTGAGATGATTTCATTCGTTAGTATCTTGCTCTAAGTATTCGTGTTCCGATGCATACAATCGAAAGATATTTTTAAATGAAAAAAAAATGGTATAAAGCCGCTTTGTAAAAGATTTGATGAATTATGTAGTGATTAATAATCTATAATCTTAGTAGTCAAGGAAACTCAAAGTTTTGTGGGTTCAAAACCCATCAAAAAATATCGGAAAATTTTGCTCGGGTTGTTTTCGGTAGGATAAGTATCCAGGATCTCGAGAAACCACTTATACAGTTTATAAAGTATGATATAAACACATTTGTATATGAGTATGGATTTTCGGATGATGTCTGGATCTCTAGGGACTTTTTTCCAAGTAAAGCCTACACCTGTCCAGCTCATCTTGTCAATAGGGATGAGAAATTAGAGGTGTAAGGAGTCAAGTATATGTAAGAACCGTGCAATATACACTGGGTATACATGAAATCCAATATAATATATAATACAAAGCAACTATGTCGAGTATACAATCAAATAATGTGCATAAACTTACGCGTGTAGTATTCTAGAAGTGCCATCCATGGAAACTCATCAAGTCTAGTCATGGTCCCTCCAACCATACGTTTAATACTTGGAAAAAATCCACTTGACGGTTTAAAGTCTGAGTGAGCCGGTTTGTGGATTGATGGCAGCTCGTTGCTCTTACCAATAAAGGCATTGTATGTCTGATCGTTATAATCTATCCAGTGGTACTTTTCCTCTTCTGTACAACAAACTTTGGGATATATACCTTCATACCCGCAACTTTGTGACGCCAACTTTATGAATGTCATAGGGTCCAAAGTAAGCAGGAGCTTGTGAAGTTTGGGACATTCTTGGATGACCACGCAACTATCATTTTGGCACGCCGAATCTGAATTTTAATGACATGGATCAACAAACGAGCAATTTTCAATATTTTTAATTGTGATTGTCATTTATAATACCACCATTATCAGGTCAACTTTTCAAAAGATGAATAAAGCTGAGATTTGTAACAATGCAGCATTTTAACTACTTTGTTTACAAAAATGTACTCAAAAATAGTTTTCTTCATGCCCATTCCGAAGTAATAAATTAACTGAGTAAAAGTAATTAGTTCTTGTTAATAATAAAAAACCTTTCAAATGATAAATTTAATTTGTCTTCAGCCACTGTATATTTTAAAGTAAAGTATGTAAAAACTGTATTTAAAAGTATTATTATTATATACGTATTTATAAATTCGATATTTATGAATAATTTATTTGAACACGCGAATTTAAAGGGGAATAATCAAATACTTTGACGAAAGTTGGATAGCACTTTCAATGGACATTTGAAAATTTAAATATTTACTACATGTATATGTCTGGTAAAGATCACATTTGAAACACCAAAATCACATGTTTGTGCAGATAAATATTCGATTGAAAAAGTCAAAAGAAAAAAGAAGAAAATTGTACATACGAGAAACCGCTGTAGTAATAAGCCCCAGAAGTAGCAACTGTACTGACAAAACCCAATGCTTTAGCAAAACTGCCATTCTGCAAAATATTACGACTACGCAATTATTGGGGACCAAACCAACGCTCCGTTTGAGTTCTGTGCGCCCTTTTATATAAAAGCACATCATTCACATGCACAAAATTGTATTGCATTCAGATACGAGTTCGATCCAAAGTTGGTCCATCATTTTTGATTACATTGATACTTCCATACTGCTATCTATGTTCTGTTGAAACAGTTAACGGCAAAATCTCCAACCTTGATTGACGTGTCAAATATATGCTGAAAGTCAGTTACGCCCACCAAAGTTATCACTTGGCAAAAATAATGAGCAAATCGATTAACAACTTTTTAATAACAAGGTATTTACACAAATTAGTAAATAACACAAATTATAACTTCATCTAATTACTTTTATTAAGAATAATGAAAAATACCTCGAGAAGCAAATAAATAAAAACTATGAAAACAGCATGTACCGCTTAACTGCATGCAACGAACGAAAATCGAAATATTTAAATAGTGGTATGACAAGAGCAAATCGCATGTGTTATTGTATTGATTTGCATTTAAATGGCAATTTAATTTCGAATACAACTAACTGTGCTCGGATGGAGTTAACTTCATAAAATTCTTGATTTATTGATTAGTGTATGGAAGCTCAAGTATGAATCAAACAATCATAACGTATATATCATCTTCCACCAGACGAAATTTTTCATATTACAATTGTCTTAGCCACCTATACTCGCGTACTTATAATATGTTTTATTTCCGTTGACTTGACGTTGGTATCAGGTTTAATCATCAGCACCACTCATAGGCTTATTTACAAAGTTTTGAAGTAAGCTTTTGCAAAACTTAAACACAGCTATTATAGGCCACTCATATTATTTTGTGTTAAAAAAGGATACTCAGGAATGAACATGATTTTTTAAAATTTGCCTAAGTAAGCATACTGTGTGTAACTTTGTATTTTTGGACCCTGACTGCGATAAAAACTTGAAAATGTATGCATCCATACTCTAAAACTTCCATATATGTCCATACAATCTCATAGCATAAATTATTTAGAAATACTTAGTAATGTTATGTATTTGTTAAAAAATTAGTGTAGTCCATCCAATTTATCGATACATCAATTTATTTTACTGAAAGCTGAAATTCTTGATATTTATCAGCATAGTTATATGCAAAACTACCATAAAATCGTAACATAATCAGTACATATTTTTTTCCTTTTGTAAAATCACATTTACTCTCCAATTTTGCTCAGAATCCAAGGAACGTAAGAATACACTTTAGTGTAAACCCCAGGCCATCCTTCCGTTCCACACATTCTGTTGCCATATGAGACAATGCCAACAATCTCCCACTTTTTCAAGTTAGTATAAGGACTTTTGACTAGTTGTACGAGAGGACCACCGGAATCTCCTTTGCACGAATCCGTGCCTTTCATACCCCCAACACAAATTTGGCTTTCAAGCATCTGGACTTGGTATTTTTCCGAGCACAGTTCACGATCTACCAGTGGTAGAGTGACCTTCAGCAGAATCTCCGACGAGATTCCACTTTCGGTTCTTCCCCAACCAGCGACTGTTAGTTTTTTTTGGATGTATGGGCCACTTGGCAAACTAATGGGCTTAATGTAGTCGGTGAAAGCCACGTCACGTGAAAGTCGGATAAGGGCTATGTCAGACTGATGATTATATGTATTATAGTTTTCGTGTAAAATTGATTTTTCGATGCCAACGGTGATGTGTTTGTTGCAGATCAAACCCGAGTCACCGAAAACTGTGCAATCCATATCTGTTGCAGTGTTGTATTCGCCCAATCTTACTCCGGTCAGGGACCAATCCTCAGGTAAGATCTTGTCTGAGACGCAGTGAGCTGCTGTTAGCACGTACCTATGATTTATGAGGGCTCCACCACAGGATGTTTTCATTCCCTCAGCTGTAGTAATCAGAAAAATATAAATGGTTTGTTGGACTGTTAAATTTGTAGTTTTGATAAAACTATATCTAAAACATCATGTCAAAAGGTTAATCATAATCTGATAGATAACAATGATTGCGTGAAATTTTTTGCTTTCAGCTTGTGGACTCGTAAGGAATAAAATTTTGAAATTGTAAAATCGCCTTTTTTTTTTTTTTTTTTTTTTTCAAGGAAAATAAGTGTTTTTTTTTATTGCTAGCAAATTAAATAGATACGCTTTTGATAATGAGGCATGAAGTATCAGTAATTTTTTAGTAATTTTCTTGTTTTAGTCATGTAGAGCAACAAGAAAATCCAAAAACCTCGACTAAAAATTTTTCATGTGCCGAAATGGCACATTGGCACTTAAACATATATGTCTTATTTACGCCTCATGAAATATAATTACCGAACGAAAAATATACGCCATCACACTATATCAAGGTAAGAACATTTTATTCGTTACTATCACGCTCTCTAATCTTTCATGTTCCAATAACTTTGATCAGAATACATTTCTCCATAAGAAAAAAATTTACAAGCTACTATATTGAGTACAAACTAAAAATAATGGACATAAACTTACGCGTGTCATATTCTAGGAGTGCCATCCACGGAAACTCTTGAAGAAAAGTAGCGATTCCACCATGGATATGTCTTACCATATTAGAAGTTGGAATAAGATCGTTGAAACTCATTACGTCACGATAATTAGTTACATCATTTTGATCATTATAATCGTTTCGATGGCTCATTTTCTCTTCTGTACAACAAACTTTGGGATATACACCTTCATACCCGCAACTTAGTGACGTCAATTTTATTAATGTCATAGGGTCCAGAGTAAGCAGGAGCTTGTGAAGTTTGGGACATTCCTGGATGACCACGCAACTATCATTAGGGCATGATGAATCTGAATTTTGAATAAAATACTTGGATCAATGAAATAATTATTTTTCATTTAAAATAAAAAAGCAGAGAAGTGAGAAAGCAGTCGTAACTAAGTTGATTAGGAGCTAGCCTGAGGTACAGGGGGGTAGAGCCAGTTCGGAACGTCGGGCTAAGGACTAGGATAATAGGAGGAGAGGGGGGGTATGTACTGTATTTTGAAATATTCTATTTAAAAACTGCACTTGAAAAATTCAGTTCTTCAAAATTACATGCTATATTTATACATGCTAATTTGAAGGGTAATATTTAAATATTTTGACGAGAATTGAATATAGCACTTTCAATAGTTTTACGAGTACCTAAATATTTACTACACATATTAATGGTAAAAATTATTTTTAAAAATCTTTGAAACATCAAAATCTGATGTTTGTGCAAATTAATATTCGATGGAAAAAAGAAAAAAAAAAGAAACAAACATGACGTATGAGAAACCACTGTAGTAACAAGCCCAAAAAGTAGCAGCTTTATTGACAAAACTCGATGCTTCATACTGCAAATTTTACGACTCCGCGACTATTGGAGATTGCACCAACTAGACGTTTGAGTTCTGTGCATCCACTTATATACACGTTAGTCTTTGGCACGCAGAAAATTGTATTTGCTTTCATGTGTGAGTTGGACCCAAAGTTGGTCCATCAGTTTCGATCACACTAATACTTCCACACTGCTATCTATGCTCCGCTAAAACAGCTAATGACAGAATCTCTGACCTTGATTCACGTATCAAACCGATGCTAAAAAAAAAAAAAAATACGCCCACCAAAGTTGGCAATCACTTGGCAAAAATAATGAATAAATCGATTAACGTCTGTTTAACTGAAAGTTAAATTAGGATAGCGTTGTCCGAGTTGTCGTTTACTGTTATTACCAGTTATTTAAAATAAAACTATGTTTACCCGTATGGAGTTAGATTCATATAATTTATGGCTTTTTAATTAACGTATGGAAGCTCAAGTGTGAGTCAAATAATGCGTGTACCTAGTTACACCTATGGACCTTTAATATTCATCGGATTATTTAGTTGCAGCATTAATGTTTACTTTAATTATCTCTGATGTTTACGTACAGTAATAAACATGTCTTAAATGAGTAAGTCTCAGGGAGTCTATTCTTCTAGCATCGCAAATCCTCTGTAAGGGTCCGTAATACACTAGTTCAAATTACAATTATAGTATGTCACACTGCGTCTAACGACCGATTCGCATCTGTACCTAATGCGAAATCTTATCTAAATTACAAATGGTTTGTATTCAGGTCATTTTTTGTCAATTGTCATACACTTTTGTGAAGTATTTCGTTTACGAAAAACGTATTAACAAAAAGATGTCAAATGCATCCTTTGTATTAATTTACCATTAAGTTCAATTTTTTTCATTGGAGTTGAGTTACTTGTTTTAAATAAAAAAATGTAATATAATTTAATGAAAGATTCCAAAAGCAGAAACCTATCAACAACCAAGTTGTATGTCATGTAATTAAACGTATTTGAATCATCAAAACTGTTATTTCGAGGTATAGCATTTGCAATTCCGCTAACAATGATTTTTCCTTAACTTATCGAACTTTTAAAATAGTTCGTTAGCCACTGCTCGATCACACGCAGCCGCAAGATATTTCACCATTGATCGCAAAGATGTTTCTTATTATACACGAGAGTATCCGTGGCAAAGATAATAAGAAGGCTATTTTTACGTTGAATACCAAAATTTTTTTTAAACTATGTATGTAATTGTGCATACAGTAATACAAGTGTTATTCAATACCATGTAACGTCTTTGTAACCTTTTGACCTCGTGCACGATATATTAAGACTTTCACTTGTAGATTATCTTGTGTTTATAAGTTATTTTCACACCAGTCACATGTAATACACATCAACTTGTTTTTAATTCCTCGAAAATTGTATTATGTAAGGCCGATTCACTTTATATCATGGAATAAATATACTTCTTAGTCGTGTTTTTCTGTAGAAGTCTACTCTCCCGTCTTTAAAATTGCAATACAAAACTAGTTTTAAAGAAGATTATAATTGATGCAACATATTTTCTATTGTATAGAGTAGCCAAACGTCACTATACTGCTCATTTTTTCTTATTGAATTAATCCATTGTATACATACGAAATGAGGATGTTACTTGGAAATTTTTTACTACTTCTGATTTTAAAAAAGTTTTACCTACGCCAAATTGTTGTCACTTGCTGTTTTTTCTTTAAAAAACAAGATGTTTACTAAGGTTCGATGTAGTTTACGATTTTTTTTTTTTTTTTGCTAAGTCAATAGTTTTTATTCGCACTTATAAATAATAAATGTAATAGTGTTTAATTCAAGTAATCACATTGACATTAGATGTAAATATAAAGTATAAATACTCTAAATGATCCATAGTATAGTGATAGAAAATGAATAAAAGGTGCTGAACAGGTTAAAAAATAAAATTTAATTCTTGAAAAATGTATGCCAGAGAGTGGTTTTTAAATTTAGTGCAATGCACCTAATTTATTCACCTTTGCTGGTTACTTTTATTGAACGGCTAAATCATTGAGAATCATCCACATATATACTTACATATGACACTGTTAAAAAATAAATTTGTCACTTTTTCCCATTTTTTTAATAAGATAATAACATACGACATTTCATGTATGTAAAAAAACTACTCTTGAAGTATACTCAGATTCCAAAGAATATAGAAATACAAATCGGTATACACATCTGGCCGTTCTCCTATTCCACAGACCATGAGACCATACGAAAAAACGCCGTGCAGGAATCCTTGCCTTTCTCGCCACCAGTGCCAATTTGATTCAAGATCCTAACACTCTCATATCATTAGATTTTCTATTGAAACAGTTTTTATCACTAATATATGGGTCACTACGTCAAAGGTTTTTCCCCCTAACGTTATCACTTTATGAAAAAAAGAGAAAACGATAAATCTGTTTTTAGTGTTTTCTTTCATCATCCATTGTGACCGAAATCGTTGTATAAAACATTTACATAGTTGATCCTCACAAAAGAATGTATGACTACAACAGATGAAACACCAACGAAACTTTTTTTGTTCAAACAAATTCCTTTATCAGTGATAAAATTTTTGACGCCTCTGACGTCATCATTAGAGCTTACCATTGCATATTACTCACAGGAAAAAATTTTTTGAAAAGTTTCTGTATTAAACGAAGGTTTGTATTTATCGTATACCTCATTTTTAATACGAAGTAAAAATAATAAAAGCAACCCAAGAAGCAAGTATATAAAGATTTTCTTGAAACAATCTTCTTCCACTTAGTCAAATGGTTGATATTTTGATATCGTAAGCAAGAGCATTAGACACCAACTTTTTATGGATGTACGCGTACCTTGTATGAGTGACTAACATAATTTTTTTCATTTTGAGTTATACATGAAAAATATAAGCAAAAAAAACAATGAATGAGTTTGTGTTTACATTCTACCTGACATGGTGTAACACAGATTTGTATATTTTGTATTTAATATAGTCATGACCCGCATTTATATGGTAATCATTAAACATTTCATAAATAGTGTAAATTGAAAATTAAAAGAAAAATGAAACAAAAAAATAGCTTCGCTTTCTTTTCAGTTAGACTTGCAAACTAGTAAACAAGCAGGAACACAGATCTAGTCATTTATTTTTTATTTTATTATTATTGTTTCTTGAGCAAGTTATATATATATATATAATTTATGGAGGGATTGAAAACTGTTTGTGGCCTTAACTATTGATTTCCAGTAAAACCACTGAGCCAGTAAACAATGTTATATTTGAAAACATTTTACATATAAGTATATATAGAGTGTCGTGAGTTTGATACTTTCGTGACAAAAACTCGTATAAAAAGAAAACAACCAAAACAGGTTTCAACTAAGAATTAGTCCTTGAAAAATTAATACATTGATATTAGTAATACACATTCGCTCGACCGTGTTCAATCGAAATGACAAAGTCAGGTTGCTCATTCATATGTCTAAAAATAATTATAATAAATAAAAAACAAACTCATTTATAAACCTATTGATTTAATTTATTTAAATCTAAAAAACATTATATTACTTTTCACACTCACGCGTTACATTATTAGATGAACGAAGTAATTCTAGCACACAACGACTTTAGCATCCTTTTCTATTTCATAAAATCACGCAATGACATCTGACATTCATGTGTGACATATGTGGTAGGAAAAAAAAAAAAAAAAAAAAAAAAAAAAAAAAAATTACCCTCGAAGCTTGCTCAGAATCCAAGGTACGTAGAAATATACATTGGTATAGACGCCTGGCCATCCCTCCAATCCACAGGGCGTGGGACCATACGAGACAACGCCAACAGACTCCCACCTGTTGAAAATATCATCGGGTCTCTTGGCCAGTTGCATAAGAGGACCACCGGAATCTCCTCTGCAAGAATCTTTGCCTTTCTCCCCACCAGCGCAAATCTGGCTCTCGACCATTTCTCTCGGGTACTTCTGCGAACAGTAGTTACGATCGACCGGTGGCAGAGTGACCTTCAGCTTGACCTCGGACTCGAACCTGTTCTCGGTTCTTCCCCAACCAGCGACTGTCAGCTTTTTGCTGACCTTTGGACCGCTCGGTAGGCAAATGGGCTTTATGTAGTCGGTGAAGGTCACGTCCTGCGAAAGTCGGATGAGGGCTATGTCAGCGTGTTGATTGTTCGAGTTGGGACCGTAACTTTCGTGGATGATTCGCTCTTCGATGCCAACGGTGATGGGCTCGTCGGCGCAGACCATGTCCGATTCACCTTCGGCGATGCAATCTGGATTGGTCGCGGTGTTGTATTCACCTAATCTTACACCGATCAGGGACCAACTGGGAGGCAAAGATCCCGGTGAGACGCAGTGAGCCGCTGTTAGGACGTACCTTCGACTTATGAGGGCTCCGCCGCAGGCTGTTGTCTTTCCGTTGGCTACAGTAATAAAAAAATTAAAAACATACAAATTGAACTTGGATGTCATATTTTCGGTTATTTAGTTGTTGAGAGCAATGTCAAGGTCAAAAAGAATCACATGAAGATGTACGATTCGTTGTGTGACATTTTTTTTACTTTCGACTGTTGAAGTCTCGTGAAGATTGAAATGCAGAAAAATTTTCCGGTTTTTCATTAATGCAGCACGTTGATACGCTTATTATAATGAGCCGGAGATATCCAGTGATTTTTTTTAAAACTTGCTGCTTTAATTTTGTAAACAGCAAAAAAGTACAAAAATCTAAACGTAAGAATTTTTGTGCGTCCGTTAGCAAAAATGAAATCTCAATGGCTTTCACTTTCAGTGCAGATAATACAACTAAATGTTCTGCGAAATGCTCTTAGTCATTTAAAATGTAAATAAATCTTACATATGTAGTAAAAACGTTACCAATTTACGTATTGACCCATTAACTTATCATATTCAACATTTACGCCTCAATAATAAAAAAATACGCCCAAGTACATCATACGCACAAGTTGAGATAATGTCAGTCATTACCATCATGCTCCAATTATTCATATTCCGATGAATACAGTCGGAAGATTGTTCTCAATAGGAAAAAAAATACCAAACCACTTCGTCTAGCAGATAATGAGTGCACACATGAAATAATTGACAAAAACTTACGTTTACGGTACTCTAGGAGTACCATCCACGGAAACTCATCAAGAGCAGTTGCGGTTCCACCAATGATGCGATTAGACAAGTCCTGCCCGCAATCAGTTGGCAAAAGCTTCATCGCCTCCCCCAAGTTTACGTTTCTTGACTCAGTCGATCCATTGAACGGAGGTTGTACATTGCCATTACCGTTATTACCGTTATTACCGTTATATTTCTGATTATTGTTATCCTCCTGATAGTTCATTTCCTCTTCTGTACAACAAACTTTGGGATATCGTCCTTCATACCCACAGTTTCGCGACGTCAACAAATTGAATGCCGTTGGATCCCGAGTTATAAGGAGCTTGTGAAGCTTGGGGCACTGTTGGATGACCACGCAACTGTCGTATTGGCAGGATGACTCTGAATTTTGAATGAAATACATAAATCACCAAACTATTCATAAAAAAAATTTATAATTCATTACAGCGCAAATTTTCAAAGTATAATTTTAAAACACAAAAATTAAGGTACTGCTTCTTTAGTACTGCATTTTTAAATACATTTTATAAACTACTGTATTTATAAAGACGTACTCAACTATTAACTCCCTATTTAATGCGAATTTCGGAGTACAGTAGTTAAATACCAATAAAATATATTAATTTGTCAAAACCGAGGTCAAAACGTATTTCACATTCGACAGGTACTATGTGTCCGAGAATACCCCGCAGAAGTACTCAGTTTATGACACTATTAAACAATCTATTTAAAAACATGTTTGATTTGCATTTAACAACTTCACGTACAATATGCTATTAAAAAACTGTATTTTAAAATACTAATTGTCATGCCCTACTTTTTTAAACACATATTTATAAATTCAGTACCTTTATATGACGTATTTGTTTGTACGTATTGAAAACATGATATTTAAATACTCTGGCGTATGTTTAACAATACATCAAGTAAAGGATGTATTATCAACTACATGATCATTCCCGATGAAAATCATAAAAAAATCTTTGAAACATCAAAATCTGATGTTTGTGCAAAATATTTGCTCGAAAAAATCAAGGAAAAAAAAAAAAAAATGGTACGTACGAGAAACCACTGTAGTAATGAGGCCAAAAAGTACCAGCTGCACTGGCAAAACCCAATGCTTCAACAAAACTGTCATCTTGCAAAAATATTAGAACTGCGCCCTTATTGGAGATCACACCAACAACTATAGCCGTATCAGTTCTAATCGTCGACTATTTAAGTACACACGTCTTATAACTCTTTTCGATTCACTGTACGTATACGAGCGCGCGTAAAGAAGTTTCGATGATAATTATGACGATGACGACGATGAGATTGTGATGAAGTAGAATCAGCGACTGAGCCGAGACCTGAGCGGCAATATTGTGCCTTTTGATATACCAGTTGGGTCCAAGCTGGCCTCCCACCACTCTATACATTAGCACTGACGTTCATTACATGTACTTACGCTCAGCGTGTATTTATCCGCGCTTGTCGTGGGATAATTTGTCGAATAAGTTGAGCGAAAAGTTCCCCGATTTTGTATTTGTTTACGCCAAAGGTTTTTCCAATAAAAAATAAGCGAGGCGATATATATATATTTTTTTTCATATTACCTGCATATGCTTGGAATCATTATGTGACACGTTTATACAATAGATTTATGTGCTGCGAATATTTTTTCGGTTACCTGTACGTGTTTCTTACGTAATTACAATTCCATTGCAATCGAGATCCGTTTCGCATCGATAATTTACATTGGAAAATTTTTATTGCTGAAAACTTTGGTGCTCGTTAATGTTTTTGACGGATTAAGTAATCGTAATTATTTCGCAGATAATTATGAGAGACGATGTTTTTGCACTCAAAACTGTTGCGGGCATAATTAATGACGTCCCGCCTGCTTGTCGATGTGGTATGGGAACACTTTGTATGAGTAGCATACGGGCAAACAAACAATTTTTTATTAAAAAAATAAATAAATAAAAATAAACCGTTCACCAATCAATATTTCTATACACTTGCAGGTGCAAAAATGTTTATAAGAACATAAGGATAGTTTTACGAAATTTTTTTNATTTGACCTGTACATCCAAAAAGTTTATTGACAACGTATCTTATTTTTTATTTTCCTTATCATTATAAAACGAGTTAAGACCCAACACTCTTAGATCTGGTATACTTTTTGAAGACAAACTACTAATTCACAATTTCGTGAAGTATAATACACAAGAGCCCATAATAGTAATAGTAGTAATAATAATAATAATAATAATAATAATGTCGTAATAAAGTTCGATGCTCTTTTTTCTATAGACAAATCGCTTTACGTAGGAAGTAACAAAAGAGGCGTGGCTTGGCTCACTCATATTCATATTTTACTTGGCATGAAAACTTGATCTAAATTTTTTAATCAAAATTGAGATAAACACTAGAGTAAAGAGGTGACAACTTATGTATAACAGATATGAAATTTCCCATACGAGCATTTGTTTTTAACACTTAGACTTTTACGGGATCTACTCTAAAACATATGTTGGTACATAAATAGTGATTTGATGATGAAAAATGTGGAATATTATTTACATCTGCTTCAGAGATAGTTCTTGTATAGTCACATCAACACATGTAAATGAATGTATGAAGTTAAAAAAAAAAATTATTATGTTCGCAAAAAAGCCTAAATTTTTAATTTTCCACCATGGTGCTACGTAATTATTGCTAAACAAAAGTCACTTCCCTCCATTTTATTTCGAGAGTACTTTTGTTGTTACATTTCAACAATTTTGTTTACCGAAATTATAAATTTTTCTCAAGTTCAACCTTATAATCATTCAATTCTTTACCAAAACCAAATAAATCTAGTTTTTGGCTTCTATTTATTACAATCATTTATAATTTTTAAAACTAAACGTGTAAACGTACATTATACTTATGAGGATATTTTTGCGACGATACCGATATTGTTCAGGGTATTGATTGTTCGATGTTTAAAAAATAGAAATTAAAAAAAAATTATTTCTAATCAGGAGATCAGATGAAAACTATACATGTGCCGTTGTATAGTTGAGAATCATCGACGATGCCACCTTGCAAAACTTTAGTTCTCAAATCAAGAAATACAAATTGCGCCATATCATCCATGCACATGAAATATCATCGATATATTGTATTTGTATATTTATCTTTTTTATCGTAAAACTTTTTTGATATTTTAAATAGATTGGGTATTTGTTCTATACTGCCGAGCAAAGAATAATTCCAAGCATACCACGGCTTGTTTTAAAAATTCACGAGAGGATCCAGTTATCTGTGTACCCATTGATATTTACGTGAGTGACCTTAACGACTCCGAGTCTGCAGCCCAGATACTGTAACTTTTTTCTCAATACATTGAGATAAAAAAATTAAAAAAAACTTTGTGGTTCGACAATTGTATTAATTATGCTTTGGACACGTATACAATCAAGTTACACGTGACTTTTTTCGTATATATATATATGTACAATGACGACTTTGCCAAATTTGTTGGACCGTAACAAAATTATTATGCAACAAAAAAAAAATAAATAAACAACAATGACATAGTATTGACAAACAAAATCACACAAGTGACTGCTTTATTCTGCTAGAAAATCTTTTGTCTCGCACATCACGTCTCGGGTAGGATGCCATCTATAAAAAAAAAAAAAAGAAAAAAAAAAAAAGCAAGTAAATTACTATTATTATTGAGACAAGGCTATATAATACACGTAATGGGAATTACTGAATCACGGCTTCAATTGGCTGATGATCCAGGGCCTGTAGTGGAATAGGTAGGTGTAAACCCCCGGCCAGCCCTCCGAGCCGCAAGGAGTGGGCCCGAACGAAACAACCCCGACGACGGTCCACTTGATGGTACCCTCGGGCAGCCGGTTGCCCTGCATCATGGGCCCACCGGAGTCACCTCTGCACGAGTCCTTGCCCTTTTCACCACCGGCGCAGATCTGGGTCTCGATCAAGTTGCGCGGCTCGGACAAGTTCTGGCTGTAGACTCGCTTGCACGGCTCCTCCAGGACGCGGGGCAGTATGACTTTCAGCTGGAACTGAGAGTTGATGCCGTTCTCCGTGAGACCCCAACCGGCGACAAAGAACTTTTGCTCGAGCGAGCCGTCGTTGGGCAAACAAATCGGCTTGATGCTCGCGGTGAACTTGAATTCACGGGTCAGACGCAAGAGGGCGACATCGTTGTACTGGTTCGACATTCCATAGTCGGGGTGGACGATGCTTTCCTCGACGGGGATGCTGGTGTACCTGTCCGAGCAGACGACGTCCGCGTCGCCATCGGGGATGCAGTCGGGGTCGGTTGCCGTGTTCCACTCGCCCAAACGGACGGACGTGAGCTTGTAGTCGGTAGGGGTGTTGCGGATGCAGTGGGCCGCCGTGAGGATGTAACGGTTGGTTATGACCGAGCCACCGCAAGACAGTCTCTGACCGTAGGCTGTGTTGAAAAGAAAACAAAAAAAAAGAAAAATTACTCCGAGTGCATGTTTTGGTTGAACGAAAAATGTGTGTATGTGTGTGAACGTACGCGTTGAGTACTCCAGAGCGGTCATCCATGGGAATTCGTTGGGTTGGGTCAAGGTGCCTCCGATGATTCTGCTCGAAAAATCTTCGCCGCAATTTTTGGGAAGCGGATCCCAGACCGAGTCGTTTTTACTTGGCGTTTGCGTCGTGGGTGTTGGGGCGGTGGGGTTGCAAATACTCTGGACGTTGCTTGAACCGAAGTTTTTTTCCTCGCAGCTGCAGCAAGCTCGAGGGCTCACGATATCGAAGCCGCAGGTACGTGTTCGCAAAATATCATAATTTTTCGGGTTACGGAATGCGTTTCTGAGCAAATCCACGAGTTTGGCGCAGGTTGTAAGGGGTATGCAATCAAATCCCTCCTGGCATCTGTTTTCTGCAAGAGAAAATTTTTTTTTTTTTTTTTTTCCTGTATTTATTTTTTCAACATGCGACATTATTTACACGTGCTTTTGAAATAGTATTATACTGTTTACAATTAATCATACTTTCTACAACTTTTTAATGATGAAATGAATCCAAATATTTGGTTAAATAAAATATCAAAAATCAGTTAGAATTTATTCAAGTTCCGCGTGTTGCTTCGATTTACAAATTGAAAATATTTGAAAAAATTCAATTACCATTGATTTCTTCTTTGTTCGCAAAAAAATGACAATAAACGAGTGATAGAAATAATAATTAGCACACAAAATGCTAATTAATATGCATTATAACAATATGTTAATACAAACGAGAAAAACTTATCTATGCTAACGAAAAAACATAACGTGTACAAAAAATATCATCATCTGTTGCTTCAATTTATCAAGTTGTGCGCATCGATATGAATTTTTACTCGACCTACAGTAGCCTGCAACTGTATGTGTATATATTTCGACTCTTGTTTATATAGATATACTCTTCAACAGCTCAAAAGTAATCTGTGGGTAGCTCCAAGCTACTGGACCGAACAAAACTATTATATCAGACAAACTTGAGTGTATATGTATATATATATATATATATTTATACCTAATTATTGCTAAACAAAAGTCACTTCCCTCCATTTTATTTCGAGAGTACTTTTGTTGTTACATTTCAACAATTTTGTTTACCGAAATTATAAATTTTTCTCAAGTTCAACCTTATAATCATTCAATTCTTTACCAAAACCAAATAAATCTAGTTTTTGGCTTCTATTTATTACAATCATTTATAATTTTTAAAACTAAACGTGTAAACGTACATTATACTTATGAGGATATTTTTGCGACGATACCGATATTGTTCAGGGTATTGATTGTTCGATGTTTAAAAAATAGAAATTAAAAAAAAATTATTTCTAATCAGGAGATCAGATGAAAACTATACATGTGCCGTTGTATAGTTGAGAATCATCGACGATGCCACCTTGCAAAACTTTAGTTCTCAAATCAAGAAATACAAATTGCGCCATATCATCCATGCACATGAAATATCATCGATATATTGTATTTGTATATTTATCTTTTTTATCGTAAAACTTTTTTGATATTTTAAATAGATTGGGTATTTGTTCTATACTGCCGAGCAAAGAATAATTCCAAGCATACCACGGCTTGTTTTAAAAATTCACGAGAGGATCCAGTTATCTGTGTACCCATTGATATTTACGTGAGTGACCTTAACGACTCCGAGTCTGCAGCCCAGATACTGTAACTTTTTTCTCAATACATTGAGATAAAAAAATTAAAAAAAACTTTGTGGTTCGACAATTGTATTAATTATGCTTTGGACACGTATACAATCAAGTTACACGTGACTTTTTTCGTATATATATATATGTACAATGACGACTTTGCCATGCAACATATTTTCTATTGT